GGCAGGAAATCTCGCTGAGCTGCATCAAGAACAGGCCGGCGAAGCTGATTTTAGGTACCAAGCTGAATATGGTGGCGTGGCGAGGATCAAGGGCCCTCTTGGTGTATGTCTTGATAGGCCCCATTCACAAGGGCGAGACTTACAAAATAATCGACAGGTCGACATGTTGTGGCTATCCGACCCGAAGGCACTACAGTACATATACCAGACTTCGGGCTACAACTTCCCCAAACAGCCTGAGCGTCGCGTGCTCTCTGGGCTTATTGGTGATCATGGACTGACATGGGCGGATGGTTCGCCTAGGGTTACTTCTACTTCTACTTGATGCTGATCGGTGCGTCAGGGGAGACGCATAGACGGCAGAGGAAAGTCATGCTGCCTGCGTTCGGGTCACCCGAGGCCAAGGCACTATTGCCTATCTTTGAACACTATGCTGAGCAGGTTTGTCGTATCCTGCATATCCGATCAACTCCACGTCTCAGTAACTTCGCGATCAGGTAGCGTTGAGGTGGCGCGAGATCCTCGAAAGTTCTGAAGGCCAAACAGCGGTGCTCAACGTCATCAAGTTGATTTCACCTGCAACTCTCGATGCGATCGGCGAAGGTATGCAGCCTACCCACAACTTGAACGCACACTCGTGTCTGACGGTATTGTAAGCTGCCTTTGATTACAAACTTGGCTGCCTGGACAACTCCGAGACCGAGCTCGCACAGGGATACAACAGTCTGGTGTAAGTGAACACGTCATTGTCAGGCCGGCCTGCTGGCTGACGATCTAATGATGGACGGTAGAGCAGGCATCTTCTCGAGTCCCTCGAAGTCAAAGTTGTTCTGGACCAGCGTAGCCCACTACGTACCGATGGGCCTGTCGGAATGGTGTTACGCCCATCTTCCTGGCAAGGGCCTCGACAAAGCCCGCCAGAATAAACGGGCGGCGCACAAGGTGGCTCGGCAACTGCTCGACATGAAGTCAGAGGCGGTGCTGAGCAGCAAGGGTAGCCGCGACGTGATGAGTATCATAGGTATGCACATTATCGGCCTTCCCGTGCACCGGCGATGACGAATGCCGCCGACAGTGCAGGCCAATGCATCCGAACATGCGAAGACTAAGCTCGCCGACGACGAGATGATAGCCCAGATGAGGTGGGCGTGTACCTACCAGCCACGTTTCCCGCAGAGTTAATGCATAGGTAATCTAGGACGATCATGCTAGCGGGCCAAGAAACAAGCTCCAACACGCTCAGCTTTGCCCTTTACGAACTGGCTAGGCATCCGCACTACCAAGACCGGCTCAGAGCTGAGATACGCACTATGGAGGGTTCCGTTCGGGAACGCGGACATGCTGCATTCTCCTCGCTTGACTTCGACGGCATGCCGTTCCTGCAGGCCTTCGTGCGAGAGGTCCTCCGCTACCATCCAGTTGTGCCCCACAACTACCGGCAAGCGCTAAAGGACGATGTGCTTCCCCTCTCGAAGCCCCTCCGGACCTTGTCCGGCAAACTGGTCAACGAGATCCATATCCCGGAGGGTACACGGCTGACGCTCTCTATTGCGGCGTATAATAGGTGGGTTCCCTTGATCTGATCTTGATTGACTAGGGGAGATGCGACTCACCAATGGGATAGGGAAAAGGACATTTGGGGCGAAGACGCGCATGTCTTTAACCCGGAGCGCTTCTTGGATTCCACAGGGAAGCGCGGGCCAACTGTGGGCGTATTCGCTAACATGTCAGTTCGTTCCGTGATGGGATGACAGCGCCATTGTTCTAACGTCATGCCAGCCTAACCTTCTCTGGAGGTGTACGAGCCTGCATCGGTTGGCGTCTCGCGTGCGTAGCTTCACTTGGTTATTATGTGTTCAGCAGAGCTTACTATGCGTCCTTGGAACAGCGTCATCGAGTTGCAAGCGTTCCTGTGCCAGCTGCTATCGGACTTTGAGTTTGGCATGACAGAGGAGCTGAAGCGACTTAGGAGAGAGAACGCCCTGGCCATGGTACCAACACTTGATGGCGAACTGGAGAAGGGTGTTCAGTTGCCACTCAAGGTGTCGTTTGCTACGCGCCAGGACTGACTGACTGTTCCCTGGGCTTGCTTCTGATAGTCGATACGGGTGCTAATGAATACACTGGCATGCAGGATGATAAAGATTGTGTGCACCGTGATAAGTATTGTAAAACAGACCAGACAGAGCGCTGAGCTACAGACTCTGTAAGCTAGTGCAACCAGTCGGAAGACAGACGGGAGGCCAGACGCGCGGCAGAATTTCGAGCTTGACCGGCGGGCGGCAGCTGCAGCGGCGTCAGCGTGCTCCGTAGAAGCCACTTTACTTCCCATGCACAGCGGAACTTGCTATCGCGGATGCACCGTAGTGGAGGCGGATCACCTCACATCCGTCCACGGCGGGAGAGCCGTCGACTTCGCTCAACATCCATCCGAGGGTTCTCCAGCCTTGCACATCCGACGCGGCAGCGACTCGGAGGGCATATAAAGGATGCTCATCGTTTTGAGCGAACCCCACCAACAACGAGGCACGGAGAAGCTCAAGCCACTATAAGCACCCGCATCGCCTTCCCTCGTGCAGATAGCATTGTTGGTCGCCACCATCCTCGTGTTGCACACATCCAGCCGCATATAAGTAACTTGCCTTGTTCCACATTAACACTACCCGTTCGTACCGATTCCTCGAGTCTGGCACTCGATCTCACCCTAACTCACCGCACTCTCTAGACGTTCACATCAGTCACTGTACCCATCGCATATCATCATGGCCACTACGATCCAAACACCTCAACTGAAGGTGTCAATCGAGCCGCCACCCGTCGTCGGCATCTACCCTACGAGTCCGCTCGCACGGTTCCCGCCGCCAATGCCTGCACTGCGAAGGCCACTCCGCGAGCGCTGCGGGTTCACCGCCCGGCTGAGCCTCACGGTCAAGACGTCCTTTGGGCAGCAGCCGCCGTGCGCGGACCCGTGGTCGCCCAAGGGCCACATCCAGCCCCACCGAAGCCACCTCCCGCGCCGGCGCAAGGCGCAGATCAAGCGCATCGTCCTCTATGACGACGAGCCCGAGCAGGCCGCGCCCGCGGCGCCCACACCCGGGGCCCTCGTGCCCGCACCGAGGCCTGTCGACGCGCCATGCCTCCAGGAAGTCGTCCCCGGGCTGTTCATCGCGTTCAAGACAGATTCGGCCGCCGCCCAGGACACAGTCTACACGCACATCATCGACGTCTGCCACCCGCCGCCAGGGTACGACGCGGGCGCCACCGAGAAGGCCTTCGAGGGGCGCACCCACCGACTCCGTCTCGTCCTCCCCGCGCCACCTCAGACAGAGTCTGGCCGCGCCGGTCTCGCGCTCAGCGCGGCCCAGCTCCGCGCGGCGCGCGACTTCCTCGCGGAGACGCTGCCCTACGGCAGCAGCCCTGCGCAGCCGCGCCCGCTGCCCGAGAAGCAGGCCGTGCGTGTGCTCCTCTCGACGCCGCAGCGGCGGCCGACGGACGCGATGGCGGTCGTGGGCTGCTACCTCGCCTTCGCGTCGCAGAAGAGCGTCGACGCCGCCCTCCGGTGCATCGACGACGAGCCCGAGTTCCTGAGCGTCTGGAAGGGCGAGGTGTCGGAGGACGAGGTGGCCCGCGCAGAGCGCGTCGCGAGGATGTGGTCGTCGCTCTCGGGCACCAAGCGGTAGACCCGCGAGAAGCCGCAGGGACGGACAGTCACGATCAGCACCTGGGTGCGCTGGGACGTTCGATGTATTGATACTACGCAGTGCTGTATTATATCACGGGGAACCGTATTTATGGTATTATATCAGGATAACAATCGACTCACAATGATACAAGACTACTTAATGTGATACAGGAGAGCGTGCGATGACAGATCGAGAAGTACAGTGGTAGATGCGATAGCAGTTCATGGCGCGGCCATCCGAAGGGTAGCGTTCCGTTCAACGATCTCTGAGGACTTCAGTTGACGCCCTGTGCGATAAAAAGCCAGGCGCAATTCCTGCGCAGCATCCATGAGCTTCGCCTTCGTGGATCAAGGGTCCCGCGTACCTCGAAATTATGCCTCATGTAGTCCGGCTTGCAAGTGAGGCTCTGGAAGTTCTCTGGGGTGAGATCATTCGTTGTAGTTTCTGCCCGAGGCTCAGAACGATCACATCTCGCATCATCGGACGAACAACTCACGAACTGCGCCCGGGCCACCGGCAGGCCGAGGCGTCGCTTCAGGGGCATATTTGCGCCCATGGGCATAGGCCGATGCTCTGAGCTCCTGGTGGCAGAGACAGAGGACGGAGGTTAAGCGGCATCGACACCAACGTTCAGTATTGCTCATGCCCGCACGGTTTCTTTACGAAGAAAGGTGGCCACACGCACCTCGACTGACCATGCGACGAGCTCGGGCTGGCACACAATGCACTGGAACACCGCTCCGCGCACCTCATTCGACACCGGCTCAGGCCGGAAGATGTGCACGTCGGGTATGGGCCCTCGCGCCGCGCCGTTGACCACTGGTGCTGAGGACGGCCCGTCCATGGGGACGTCCGTGTTGATGTGGACGACCTCCGAGTATGGTTCGATGGACGGAGGCAACCCGAGGGCTGCGCGCTGGGCACGGTCCGTTGGTTGTTGAGGGAAAGGTGCTGGCGGTTTGCCTGTTGACCGGTACGCACGAAGATAGTCTTGTATACGACGTTCCTGCATTCAGCCACCTTACGAGGTAGTATCGAGTTCGTCGTTTGCAGAGTGGCTGCGTGCTCACCTCAAAGCTGGGTGCATTCCGAGGACTCTCCTGGGGTATGTTCACATATATCTCCCGCGGCATTGTGCAGAATAGTTTGATATTCAGGAGAATTGGGATGACGGTAACAAGAGTCGCAGAGCGGAGGTGTTTGGGCGTACAAGTCGAAGTCGAACTGAACAAGGCCTGACGCCCGTGCTATGCACCGCCGGGTCAGCGGGCCGGCGTGTTGTTCAGGTTTACTGTTCTTAGTAGAAGCAACAAAATATGGACATGTCCGGGATCGAACCGGACCCCTCTCGCAATTGCTCATGCTAAGCGAGCGTGATAACCAACTACACCACATGCCCTTAGGGAAAGCAAACCCATTTATAAATATCACTTGGTTAGCCTCTGGTTGTCTATCGCCATCAAATATTCTTCATTTGGAGAATCTACGATACGTTGTGGCTCAGCAAGGCCTCCAACTCCAGACATTACTTTACGCAGCGAGCACTGGAAGGTGTCTGTATGGGTTTGTTCTATAGGTATTCATGTACTCTGCATAGTCAAGTTTCCTCATCATCGTGGAGACGCCTCCGCGCCGTACACGTGTAGTGAGCATAATTTAACGTATTGTGATCAGTGTGTGACGCGTGTAGTAGTGGAACAAGTTGATTTAACAGCAAAGACTGCTATTACAGCGACTGCCTTCGTGGCGCATCACACAGTGCGCACGGTCTCGTCCCTTTCAAGTACAAGGTTCGCAGTGTGCCGTTGGGAAATCTGCATCGAATTAGTAGAATGTTTAAGATCGGCTCCCGGGCCCGCCGATGCGCCCAGATTTCATAGTAGTGCAGCCTGCTCATGCTGCTATTGAACGTGCATCATTGGCATCCCGATGTTCAAGTATAGAATTGTGCTTTGACACTCACAAAGAGCTGAAGCTGATTGGCTTCACATATTCCATGAAAAGGCGTATCGAGGCTACGTCCAATCAGTCGGGACGTTAACGCATAAGAGTCGTGGAAGGTCCTCCCAGTTGTTCTTGAAGACCTTGAGTTCTGCCCCGCGCAGTGCATCAGTGCACGCACGACACAGAAGACCTTGACGTTTGATGCCGCCGATCAATAAAAGGTTTGGCCTGAGCCCCGAGAAGAGCCTCATGAGAACGTCGGCCCGTTGGGCGAGACGATTCTGGCGCAGGGTGTCGATTGCCGACCGACATCTATCGTCGTCGTTGTGGCATATGAGGGATGGATTGAATATATCTAGGGCGTCGGCAAGGCTCTTCCTCACCAGCGACTGACGCGCATTGACGCAAGTAGCGGCGTCTTCAGGACTCAAAGATTCCACAGTGTCGTCCGGTGTGCGCCGATAGCCGCTGATGATGTACTCCGCGTCGAGTTGGCAACAGAGATATAAGGCAGTGGGCAACATCGAATCGGCCCCGGTGAGCCGCGCGATGTTGACGACAGAAATGGCATCCGTGTCACGGAACCTCATCGCATGGTTCCCGTTATGGCGGCTAACACTCTGCCAATCTCCACAGTCGGTTCCAAAGCACGACTTCATCCTTTCGAGGAAATCGTCGCGCACGTAGTCGAGTTGATACTTATGGGATAGCCGGACTATAGCTGCGACGATGGCGAACTCGAGTTGCTCGCCAGGGCGATAGTGTCTGTAGGGCATCCATTTCCCGTTAGTCTACGGCACTTGCACCTATGATGAAAGAGCTGTACGACCTTTTTCCATCAAAGATAACTCGCAAAACATGGCGCAGTTCCTCGTGACTATCCGTGAGGTGGACAATCGGGCATCCATCGAGTGCCTCCACAGACGAGGGTTGCGGGACGGCGAAGAGATCGCGGAATACTTCCGAGTCGCGACAGAGTAGCCCCTGGTATACCTTGAATGCCCGTCCCTGGGCCACCAGTACCACGTTCCCGTCGGGGAACCATATCTCCTCGTCATGTATGAGGGCTGACTGGTCCTCGGCCTGCGCTAGTGCTTCCATGGCGAGACGCGATTTTGGGTGCGTAGTGGGCTCCGCGAGACAGAACTGTCGCAAGAGGGAGGTGATAAGTGCCTCGCGAGACGATGCAAGGGGGCTGCAACCCTGGTCAAGGTCATCGATGGCAAGAATCTCCAATACTTAAGAGGGCACGGGGCGACGCATGTAACGTGTCGCGGATTTCCGGAGCCTCGTGGCAGCAGCAGCAGAGCATAGACATCCGCCCGGGGGACGATAAGGTACTCCAGGTTCCACGTTACTACCAAAACCGGAACCCTTGCAGAGATAGAAGCAAGAGCAGCTCACATGCGCATGGGCTCATGACGAATGAAAACTAGTAAGACAACCGCTTCAATCATCGTCCATTTCTTCATCCCCATCCCCGTCGCCCTCGCCATCCTCGCTGCCACCGTCGTCTTCGAAGAACTCGTCCCCCTGAATATTCTGAGGGAACGCAGGCGCAGAATCCTTGGCCGGCCCGAAGCTTGCGCCAGATTGTCGTTCATGCGAAGGGGACCCTTGGGGTTTCCTGTGCTCCCGAGTATGCAGCTCGACCTCGGGCTCTGCGCTCATTTGTCCCGCGGCCATCCGCTCGCGCACCCATGCGCGAACCTCCTCGCGCTGCGCGTCAGTGGCATTCTCCGGTTTTGAGTCGTCGGACGCCTCCTTGGAGCGAGAGTATGTATGCGGGTATGGATCCGAATGTGCATGTGGCTCAGAGCGGAGCTCCGGGGGAAAGAGAGATATGTACTTCTTGAGTTTCGGGTAATGCTGAATAGGTACGAGCATTTGAGCTTAAGTCAGAGGGCAAAGGGAAGTACTTACGATGATGTAGTTCAAGTCTACTCGAAGCTCCTCCAGTTTCTTCTGCAGTCGTTTCCGGTCTTTCTTGCCCAGCTTTTCTCCCTCGCTATCCTCCCCTCTCGCGAGTTGCTTCTTCACTTGCTGTATTCTGCGCGTGACTTTCTGTCGTTCTGAGGACAGGAATCTCGGATGAGACCGAAACAGTCTGATAGATATCCACTGAGTCTCTCAACATACCGAAGAATTTCACGGCGTGATACCGCTGCGCCAACGACCGCTCCTTCTTTGCCTGCTCCGCCTTCGCAAGGTCTGCCTCAAGCGCCTTGAGTCTCCGCTCCGTTTTCGTGCGCACATCGGCGGCCAAGTTATCCTACGCAGATATTCGCACGTCAACTCGCTCCCGGAGCGAAGGGTGCAGCATAACACACCTTAGCAAGTAATCTCCGGGTCTGCCGAAGGGCCGACTTGATTTTTTGAACTCCTGGAAGCCCGCCAGGTGCTTCTGCTGCTTCGCTGTGTTTTCTACGATGTTGGTGGGTCTTGCCCGCGCGTTTCTGCTTGCTGCTCTCCTGGTCATCCAGTCGGGAAGTAGACGCACTTGTGAGCCCTGAGTCCCTTGTGCGAGTTGGCCCCATAGCTCGTTTGTGTTCGGAACAGTACACGAAGACTGAGCAATGTAAAGCGAGAGTAGATGCAAGGCAGGTGAGTGTCCGAGTCTGCGTAGGCTTGAGCTAGTTAGCTTCGATAAGTATTATACATTTATCTGGTCGTGAGACTAATTATTGATCGGCGCTATACCATAAGCAGATTGTCTGATAAGATGACGTCGCGTACGTGTCCCCGCGTTCAACGTTGTCCGGCGCGCGCATCTCGTCCTTCCAACTCGTTTCTGACACTCTCTCGCCGCGGCCGCGTCGAAGATGGGGATGAAGTCCTGGCGAGGCCTGCGCAAAGCCAGTTTATTCTCCTTTGGCATCATAGCTCTGGCTGCCTTTGCATGCGCGGAGGATAGCGCAAGTAAGGTGCGTGTCTGTGGTAGGACCGAAGACGTGTATGTCTCATAGCACCATCAGGGAAAGGAGGATATCCAGATTGTTGACCCCTCTGTTGAAGGTAAGCTTCATTGTCACCACTGCGAAGGACTGTCTGTCGAGGTTCACTGTATAGCCACTAGGGCATACAACCAAGCGGTGTCCACGCTCTCCACGTTGACCGCCCTGCCACCATCTCAAAGCGAAGAGTCGAGCCCTTACCTCTCTCACAATAACAATGGATTCCAACTTTCCACACTGTTTCCTAGCATACAAGGCCACGGTCCAATAGCCAGTGCGATGCGAATAGCTGTGAAGCTCCTCCACCAACCATGGCTGCCAACATCCATCACAGGCTACGTCAAGGAAGAGCTTGGAGGCGGCAGGAAAAAGGACGTTGAGCTCCACAGCAAGGCCGTCAAGGTCATCGACTTGCTTCAGCACGCGGCGGATCTGGGTCACAACGACGCGTTGTTTACGTTGGCGCAAGTCTCACTGGTCAGTGGTTTCTCCTCAAGCGTCTGGCGGTACTTGAAGGTTGTTCGCAGTTTCCGCCGAACAGCTACTTCCCATCAAATCCTCGTCTAGGGTACGCATGCCACTCTGCGCATGCTCAGCGAACCGGAAACGCGTCTTCACAGGCTATATTGGGCTTCTTCCACTCGACTGGCTATCACGGTGTCGTCCCTGTAGACCAGGCAAAAGCACAACTGTATCTGACCTTCGCTGCGCATGGTGGGCACAAGGGCGCACAGATGGCACTCGGCTATCGATATTGGGCTGGCATCGGGGTAGCGGAGAACTGTATGGACTCGCTGACTTGGTACGAAGATGCGGCGGAACAAAGTGGGTCAATCTGATCATGACATACGCATAGACTGACACTCGGTCAGCTATGGCCAAGTTCTTGTCTGGTCCTCCTGGCGGACGCACACTTCCCCTTGCCGCACCCAAACTGTCTGACCTTGTCGGTGGTGTCTATGGACCCGGCGCTAGCTCAGCCTCAACTGGACTTCAAGCCGGTAGGCCAGTTATCAAGACGGCGCGTGCCCGAGCAGCAGGAGAGACCTGGGAAGATCTTCTCGAGTACTACCTCGTGAGTCATGCTATGTCCTCTGTCGTCACATTTCCCAACTCTGTATCGCAGTTCAACGCAGATCGTGGCGAGACGGACTTCGCCTTCCGCCTTGGCAAGATATTCTACCAGGGTAGTATATACGGCCTTCCCGGCGGTATTGCATCGGGCGGTGAAGGGGCGAGTGCTATCCCTCGGGACTTCGCCCGCGCTCGCTACTACTTCTTACGGATCGCTCGACAAGTATGGCCCAGAGATCCCGTGCGCGAGCCATCCCCTGCCAACCTACGCGAGGAGAACCCGACTCTCGCCGCGTACGCTGCTCTCGCGGCGGGCTACCTGGGGCGAATGTACCTGCGCGGGGAGGGCGTCAAGGCCGACACGGCGACTGCACAGATGTGGTTCCAGCGCGGCGCGGACCTCAATGAGAAGGAGAGCTTCAACGGG